ACCCAATGAAAGAGCCCCAAAACATAAATCAGACTTTAAAAAAGTTGAAAAGGCAAATAGATGACTCCACAGTCATAGTGGGGAACTTTAATACACCACTTTCAATGAAAGATAGAACAACTGGAAAGAAACTCCACAAAGATGCAGAAGAGCTAAACAATACAATTCACCAGCTTGACCTTATAGACATCTACAGAGCACTTCACCCAACAACAACATATATACATTCTTTTCCAGTGCACATGGAACATTTTCCATGATAGACCATATGTTAGGCCATAAAGTAAGCCTTAATAAATTTAAAACATTGAAATGCTGCAAAGCATTTTCTCAGATCATAATGCTATCAAATTAGAAAACAATAATAGAAAGATCAATGGAAAAAGAGCAAACACAGGGAAACAGAACAACACCCTCCTTGAGAAACAAGGTAAGAGAAGAAATGAAAATTGAAATTCAAAAATTCCTTGAATCAAATGAGAATGAAAATACAACATACCAAAATCTTTGGGACACAGCAAAAGCAGTGATCAGAGGCCAATTTATAGCAATAAATGCACACATCCAAAAAGAAGAAAGTGCCAAAATCAACACTTTAAACCAACATCTCCAACAATTAGGAAAAGAACAGCAAGAAAAGCCTATAGTCACCAGAAGAAAGGAAATAATAAAGATTTGAGCAGAAATTAATGAAACAGAAAAGGGAAGGGCAATAGAAAAAATCAACAAGACTAGAAGTTGGTTTTTTGAAAAGATTAATAAAATTGACAAACCACTGGCAAATTGAACAAAGGAAAAGAGGGAGAGAATACAGATAACACAAATAAGAAACAAAAAGGATAATATCAGGATACTATGAAGAACTGTACTCCAACAAATTTGAAAATCTGGAGGAGATAGACAGATTTCTAGAAACACACCACTTATCTAAACTACCACAGACTGTTGTGGAAAAGTTGAATAGATCCATAACAAAACAAAAAATTGAACAGGTCATCAAAAAATTACCAACTAAAAAAAGTCCTGGCCCAGACTGTTTCACTGGAAAATTCTACCAAACATTCAGAGAAGAACTGACACCAATTCTACTCAAACTATTCCAAAACATAGAAAAGGATGGAATCCTCCCTAACTCATTGATGAAGCAAGCATAACCTTGATTCCAAAACAAGGCAAAGACATTACTCCAAAGGAAAACTACAAACCAATATCCCTCATGAATATAGCTGCAAAAATCTCAACAAAATCCTAGCCAATAGACT